GGGTAAGGGGGGGAGGGGGGGTAGTTTACGAGTATTTTACGCGGGCCAGAGTCAACGGGATCGAAAGCGGCCTTAGGATCAATACGACGGAAGCCCAAGTGCCCATAGCCAGAGAGGAACCAACGATGCTCTTGAACTTCAGACCCTGAGTGCTACTCGTACATTTTTTCATTTCACCCCCCACTGACCCAACCCTATAACATCCGAGACTCACCTTTACTCCAAATGTGCCTGCCCCGGAAACTTGAGAAACACGTATAGGGACCCTTTGCTCGAGTTACCCTGGTAAGGTTGCGAGATGAAGAACGGTAGGATTATTTGTGGGTGGGGGGGGAGGGAGTAAGAGGGTAGTTCGGTCTTGCATGCCCTATCCGGAAGGTTCTAGTTTCTTAGGGTCCTATAAGGCAACTTATGGTAACTAGGAAAATTATGTAATTAATCATAGGAACGAGAGCTAGATAACGAGAGTTCCGTGTGGAAATGCCCGACGGGTTTCCTACTGGGTAACTCCATTAGGTGGGAATCGGTAATTCGAAAATTCAAGCGTTTACTCGGTTCCAGGATCTGGAGCCTACGCTATACCGACGTACTCCCCAGTAACTGAGCTCTAAGTACCTTGCTGGAGCCAGGACTCTGAAACTTGCCTATCTGGCAGTCTTGGCACTCTAAAGCTCACATTAATCATACTCGAATGGGCACTGCAGCCTGGCCTGGTTTCCCTGCTCAATGAAATATTATCGTAGTCTTGTGAAATTAGCCGGCCTCCTACTTTACTCAACCCTTACGTATTATATATAGAATAATTATATGGCTACGAGTAAGGCGTGGTTAGGGGTTTTGGTAAGGAAATACGTGAAGGCTTTTGGTACTCGACGTCTTTGAGGCTTCTTTTTTTTTTTTCAAGTTACCATTCTGTCTCTTTGACGAACGAAAGTTCGGCCAAGTATTAAAAAGTTCTCATGAGTTTTCTCACCGCTTTTTCGAGCTGGCGCGATCGTTACCGCGCCATATACGAGCGAGAAAAAGTTTTATGAAAAGCGATCCAAAGATTACGGACAGGTTTCTATGGGTATGACGAGCGACTTCTGGCAGGAGGCTCGAGCGAAATTGTGGAAAGTCGAAAGTAGAAATTCAGTCTGACGGCGGTGGCGCGAGGCGCTGGGGAATTAAAGAGTGAAGACGCTAACGAAGATCTTCGAAGGTTCTTAAAGCTTCTGAAAATTAGTATCGCGTTAATCGACGGCACTTCAAACTTTTACTCGTTTCCGCTAATCGAATTACTTGGAAGATTTTTCGCGTGCGGGTTAGACATTACCGAGAGCGAGGGTGAAAATATTATCTGAGACGAGAGGGCCAGTCAGGGAATTAAATGAATATAAATACTGTTAATTAATGCAGAATAAATTTTTTAATTTAATATAAAAATAATTCAGTCCAAAATCATATATACTATGAAATAGTCATTAATTCTTGTACAAATATCCATTTATCTAAATGGCCTTGTTAATCGATAACAGCTCGGCAACCTCAAGACTAATTATCATTTGACATTACTCGGTGGTTAATTATGAAAGACAGTCAGTTAGCAGCTACCATTCACAAGTCAGCAGCAACATCATTCCGACTCCGAGAAAACATTGAAAACAGAAAACATTCCGACTAAACTAGACCAACCACTTCTCTCCTCTTGGTCTTTTCAAAAGTGTGACCAAGTGCTCTGGAGTCTGGAAGTATTTTTCTATCTCCTTTTTTCCCAGAAAGAAAGGCCAAAAAACTACAGAAACACTACTGCCGGCAAAGTTCTAGCGACACGAGTCGACCCTGTTCCTCCACTAGGATAATCGTAAGTCGAGGCACATGGGTAGCCAGGCCCCATAGGTAGCTCAGCACGTACGGGTTATACTACCGTATGGACGAATGGTCGGTCGGTTCTTCCTTTTGGCAAAAAGTCCTTTGGAATAACGAAGTGGTCAAGGGAACCATTGTTTTTTACATTGTCGCCATAGAACGTGTAATGGCGGACGTGGAAGGGATTTGTGTTTAGCGAGAGTGTCTCGTATTGGCGGGGAAGAGACGGTACAGAATTCAAAGAAGAAATTAAATACAGTCGTCTTCCGAGTAGGTTGATACTGGCTAGTGATAAAAGATATCGTAATTACATGACGTCATTGTTATGGGATAATGAATTCTTTATGGGATAAACACTTTTAATGGAAATATTATACTGAGAAAAGTTTATGAAAAGTATATGAAATCTTGTGGAAGAACATAAACACATTGTTTATGGTAAGGGCACGTGTGTTTGTTCTAGGGATTTTTTTAATGGGGTTGCCATTACGTGGCTCATTATCTAAAAAGGTATTGGAGTTTTATATACGTGCGAGTAAAAACTTCGTCATAATTCGTAATTGTACGCCATATAGGTGAAACTTGGGTTTCTGTGTCGGTACAGATAATGGCAGTGGGGCCAATTGTAATTGTGAAGTTGAGAGTCCCTGAAGTGGCGCCAGGTTGGCTGGAGCCTGACATGCGATCAATCAACCTGCTGCTACCACCCTGTTCCCTGTTCCCTGCAACCCTCTTTCCATTGGCAACCGGCCACCCCTGTCTGCCTGCCTGCTTCGTTCTTTACACCTGGGTCAGACCTGATCGTGGTTACTCCAACCAAGTGAGCGTTTTGGCTGTGCTTCTGTAGTGAACTTAACCCTAGGGATTTTCGTTAAGAGAATCCCTAGTCCGGATTTTCTAGATAGGAAACGACAGACACGTTATTCGCCGTGGGGTATAATCCTGTACTAGTTTTCACAGTTCCAAACGGTCCTGGTAAAGTCACCGTGCGAATTTCCATCGTTGTGAGACGTTAGGCAATAGACAATAACAGAGCGTGAATTTCGGGCGAAAATAATAATACGAAATTGTTCGAGGACGACGCCATCTTTTTTTCTAGTGACTTTCGACCTGGAACTTACTATCGCCGGCACGTCAGTGAGGTAGCGATTTATAATGTTGGTAGTACCTTAACGACTTTTCATATTGTGTGTGACTGGTTCGCGCTGTGAATTTTCCGGGCGAAACTCGCGGCGTCTGGAATCTCGCTTCAAAGGATCTGGGTAAAATGCATTTTCCGGCTTTTCCCTTGGGCTTAGTGATATAGAGAGAGGAAAAAAATTGTCTCATCTTCAAGAGCAAGGCGCTTGCTTTTCTTCGAGTCGAATGCAGCGTGGCTTTACGTCGGCCGGTGCTGCACTGTCATCTCGTGCTGTTGCCTTCACGTGAAACGACGTTTTCTACTTTCACAGTAAGATCCTATCTTGCACGGAAAAATTGAAGGAGAAGAAGCGTACAATTACATCGAGCTTCTTCGCTTTGCAAGGAATCCCTCTTGCCTTTCCAAGGGATGCACCAAGCCATTGAATTATACTTATATAGAATCCTCTTAGATTTTTCTCTATTTGACGTCGAGCAAAGAGAGTAAAATAATCTTGGAGTTTATACACTGGTCAAATCCCACCCTTGGATATTTTCTTTTCATTGGGAATTTTTCCTCGGGAATTTCAACGCCTCCGGGTAATATGATGTAAAGGAGAATTCACGTGACCCAGCTCGTCACCCTATTCTCCTCTAAGCAGAATCGTTGTTCCATTTTGCAAAGGAAATAAGGACGAAGACAGAGAGAAAGAGGAGGGAAAAAAGTGATGGTGAGAGGAACAGTGCGAAGGGACGGTAGGTGGCGCCGGTTAGTCTGCCAGTCCTGAAACGACCTCAACCCCTAAGCCGGTCCTGACTCTAAGTAGTATCCTACTCCTGCTTTGAGTATATCTTTTTTTTTAAGTAAATTCATAAAGATACAAGTCGTCGAGTACACGCGTATTTTTTTGGGGGAAATCGATGACTTTATTGTGATTTCACAAATTTTGTTTTCCATAAAATCGTTTGCAGTAGAAAAGAAGTATACTGCTTCTCCACGTTTTTAGAAAAATTTTTCAAAATATTTATACACAAGTGACCAGGTCGGGCAAGTGTTACAATTTGATAACGTATCACTCTGGACCATATGTGTGCTTCGGATGACGGCCAGTCGTCTTTATCTGTCAAGTAATTCAAGCCAGTGTAAACACGGCTTCGCTACGTGTTGCTATATGTGTCAGTTGACGGCCACTTAGGTAGGTGTCTACTAGCAATGATTATTCCAGTGGTACAGTGACTACCGTACAGTGCATTACGTACGACGCACGTACAGCGAGAGGCGGGAAATATGAATCGTTGTTGAGTGTTTTCGCGTGTTTCACAATATACCAGTGTATCCATACAGTGAAATCGGGAGATCAAGGTAAATTGGGCTTTTCGTAGGTTCTTCTTGATATCGAAAACTACAATAAGATTTGTGCCTTCATATCTTGTGATCAGGCACGGGAGACAATGCATTCTTGGAAAGTTTGAGGTCACGGATGGAGAACGATCAAGATCTTCGTCGTCAGTGGTAAATGTAGTGTAGATACGGATGGGAGGAAGCGGTCGATATACGGTAATGGGAAAAGCCAAAGCACGACATTACCGATATAGGAAATGCTTTCGGGTTAGATTGAATTGGTATTTAGAGCATTAAGGGGTGGCAGCCTCAAGCCCGAATCGAGAACCCAGAATCCCGATCGAGGGGTTAAACGCGAGGCGCCAGGATATCCGGTCTCGTTCAACTTGCATCTCCAGATCGGGAATCCTTGGATAACCATTGTGCGATTTATATCGGTAACTGTATGTTTTGGATAGAAGCTGTATGTACAAAAAATATTGTATCCATTACTATACCGCTATCGCCTACGTTTTATTTATACACGAGATGTCCTATGATTTTTCTATGATCGCTGTTATTCTATGCACGTGATGCAGTTTTCCTGCAGCTGCAGCAAAAATCACATCGAAATCGTACGAGTGCATTTTATCTTATGCAATTTATCATATCCGATCGATATTCCGATCGAGTGCATTCTGCCGATTTTTCTTCATTCTAATTCAATCAGTATGGGCTAGGTACTGGGGTTGGTATCTTTTCTTATGAAAATGTGAATTAATGAAACGAATCCTTTTGTTATCAGTTGATTCTTGCAGTTTTAACGTATCCAGTATTATTATATACATATACTGTCACACTGGAATCCTAATGGAGACGATTACCTCTTTATGGAAGCCAACAGTTTTTTTTCCTCATTGATGGAATCCCCGATGGTTAACGCGAAACATAAAGAGAGGCCAGAGAGAATGATCCAGCGTAATCCGGTATTATATGTGTGGGCGTTGGGTTAGCTACCTGGCCCTTACGAATGCATTTCCAAGCCTTCTGAAAAGCGATGAGTTCGGAGGAGTAAAGGGGACCTCCTATTGGACGATACTATGGGTAAGGCTTGAAACGATGCGTCAGGCTATGGGAGTAGATTACAGCCAGAGTTCAGGGCCGCCGCACTAGCTTTTCTTGCATTCATGAAAAGTTCGTCAGTGGATGAAAGCAGTGGAGCGACAATTGTTCTTCATAGAACAAGGTCTGAATTCCTTAGTACTGTTCACGCTTAAGTTGGTCGTCTGTGTATAACTTGTACCATTTAGAAATGAATAATGTATAACATTGGTTAGTAATTCATTGGTACGCCGAGTCCGCTCCTGGGAGTCTGACATCATCTCGAATACCCGTACCCATACAGGTTCGGACTCGGAATGAAGTCGTTCAAAGCCGAGCTATGATTGGTCAGCTCCAAGAGAAATGACGCGTCGTTATTGGTCGAGTAAGAATTACAGTGCGAAGAGTGTTTATGTCAACCCAGTACTGTCCGATTGTCCAGTCGGTGATTCTCGGCCGCGTTCTCTCCCACTAGACTCGTGACAGACTTCATCTCAAGCTTGGTGCGAACCCTGGAATGTTTGGCATCATTTGAAATTAAAGGTGTGCCTTCAGATTAATTCAGAAAGTCCAAGCACGTGCTCCGGACTCACGACCCTAACCGTCCACGCCATACTTGCCGGTTGCCCAATCGAGAAACGTTCACCGGGTCTGAGGATCTTGAGGTAGTCTGGATTCTCGATGCATTCCAGGGGCGTACTTGCACCACGATCAAAATTCGTCCAGGGTAACTTTAACGTTACTGTGGAGAAATTGTAGGGTCTCCAGACCCAGTGGATGATGAACGACGTGGAAGTACGTGCACGGATGCACCCGGTTCACGTGTTAATATATCGACTGTGTATAGTGTATATAAGTCTAGCGTAACGTAGCGTTAAATTGGGGTAGAAGGAGTAATAATGAGGGTGTGGCATGAATTGTGTCTCCAGGTCGCGGATCTTCCCGAGGAAGAGCCCAGCTGGCGAGAGCGATAGAGTCGCAGGAAGAGGAGAAGGAGGAGCTGCCTGAGTGACGGGAGTGATAACCTATGTTGTTGTGCGGCGAGTTGCTCAGCGGCGGTTTTGTGAGTGCGGGCGGTGCACCGGTGGTGCCCTGCGGTCTTCTAGGGCTAGGGTTACCTGGTTGCCTACGTGCGACCAGTCCCCGGCTCCTGACATCTCCATATCTGCCGCTCCTCGCCGAGCTCCTCGCCACGGGCTACCTTAACCATCAGAGGATGGCCCTCGCCCAGCGTAACCACCCTCCGAACTCCACGACCAATCCGACTTCGAATCCTATGGCGAATTCGACTACGGCGTCTGCCGTCTCCATCCACAATGATGAACACCGGCACGACGTCAAGCTTGAATTGGATCGGGATCTGGACCTGGATCGGCATCGGAATCTACATCGGAATCGCCAACGGAATCTGGATTTGAACCTGGATCGGAATCTAGATCAAAATCTGGATCTGAATCTGGATGAGAATTTGGATTTGAATCTAGATCTGGATATGGATGGACACGACATCGACGACGCCGTCTTTCTCGGTGAGTCAATATTTTTTTTTCTTACATACATAATATCTTTTGCGTAAATAGGTAAAAGACTAACTTAGATATGTTTTTATTTTGTTAAATGACCTCGTTGTTCGTATAAAAATTTCTTTCGCTAATGTCAATGGAGTCATAGGGAATTAGGCTTGTGAGGGAGATAGGAAAATAGTTTTAAGGGTGTACATCTATGTACTAGGTATAAAATAGGTATATCCTTCGATAATTCAGTCGATTGACGAACTAACCTTTAAGGAATAATAGCCGCAATGGTGGAAATCCAGGTGATATTGTAGCAAAAGAAAAACAGGAATGGTCTTCTCGGCAAAATCAATAAAACGTTATTTCGAGACTAACCCCCGGCGCTATATCGCTTAGATAAACCAGTGAAAGGAACGCCATCCTTTCAGAGGAATCCACCAGCTCTATCCTTCCTCCTCTTCTCCTTCGTCCTTATCCTCTTTCCTCTCTACGCTTCCTTGTACATCCTCGTATACGTTTGCGGGTCTTGTTGCGCTTCGGGTTCCTCAAGACAGCCCTTGTCGTATACTTCCCCCGTGATCCTCATGACCCTCCTGACCCTCAGCTACGGTCAAAAGACGTGAGTTATCCCTTTCGTTTGCTGTCTCCGTCACAAGTCCCTGTCCAGCGCATTCGAGCTCTCTGTCCCCGTGAACCTTAGCGCGACCTTCCACCGTTTTATAAATGGCTCCGGACTTGATCCAGCCGAACCCGTGCAGCCTCACTCACCAAAGAGCCTCAGGGTTGGTTGTTATCCATGGGGGTTGCTCTCGAGAAAAATGGAGTATCGCCTTCGTCTTCCTCCTTACCACCCTTATCCGCGTCTCTAGCAGCCCCCAGTCTCCAGATAGCAGTTAAGTAATTGTTTTTCGCACTTTTTAATCGGGCTTACTACCCTCAGCCCTGCATACTCCATGGTCTATGGTTAACGATCACGGGAGTCTCTCGTACCGAGACACACCCTTCGTTAGTCATAAAATTCTACGAGTTAAGGTTCTAACCACACGTTCACTCTGTAGGTACATTTAAGGGGGCAACGGCGAACAAGTTAGTTTCAACGATGGTAATATTGTCTCGGACTTCAACGCGTCTACCCTTATATTAGACCTACTTTTTTCCGACACCCCTACTACCTCCTATCAAACCCACGGATAATGTATTAGCGCTATTCAAAGTTTCTTGCATATCTTAGGGGCTGATCGAGCTTATACCTAGATGACCCTTGGTTTATGGAACGATTGTTTTTTTTTTTTTTTTAGTTAGACGAATAAGTTGTTCAGGGGTGGCACTATGAACCAAGTGGCAAGTTAGCTGGCAATCGGTACGTCGTCGGGAGGGAGGCTCTTTAGATCAGCAAATGAAGGCAGACCTTGAGTATAATATACGTATATAGCTATAGACTGTATATTGCCGTATGGGTCGATGAAAGTACACGTCGGCCAGTCTGCGCTCTAATTCCTTCGCTCGTTGCGAATCGGGCCGAAAGGCGAACGGTTTGCCGAGGATAATCTCGGCTCGATCGAGCGATATTTCAATGGAGTGAGCACGTCGACCTGGGCTTTTCGGCAAACCATCGACCAATCCTCAAGTCTTGCTCCACCTTGACTGTCTCTTTCCTTCACTCTACTGTGTTTATTCGTCTCTCTCTCTCTCTCTCTCTCTCTCTCTCTGCCTTGGTTTTGACTCTCCCGAGCATTTATCCGTACACAAGCAATCTGAAAAAGCCTCGTGGAACATGACAATGGAATCCTAGAAGAGTCTGGAATCGGTGGGTTGCCTCTGGTGGCTGTTGCTCTGGCTGATGGTAGTAACGCGAGCAAATGACAGAGAGAGACGAAGGAGATGAATCAGTCGGAGACATAGATGAGATGAGAGAAGATACAGAAACAGTCGAAACGGTCACAATGGCCTCTGTGTTATTTTCTGTTTGCTGCGTCAGACCCAGTCTTTCTCTCGTAAATTTCAGCGTTCTCTCTCTCTCTCTCTCTCTCTCTCTCTCTCTCTCTCTCTTCCTCTATATAATCTAGGCTATTCGAGCTATCTGAACTATCCAAGCTTCTATACATCTGTCTACCCGTCGCAAGCTCATACGGTCGAGCCTTGAGTGCGGGGCCTCCCGGAATCAAGATTGCACGCTGATGTTTGCCAAATAAACGTATAAACCTGTCTTATCTGCGCCATCCTATCCACCCGGCAAATAAATCATGGGCCATTTTATTTCGTCAGAGTTCCCTAACCCAACGACGATACGGTTGTGCACGTTCGAGTCCTTCGGTCATTTCGTCACACAGTACACATCCACTGGAACCTAACCTAACTCGAGCGGACGATCCAGAGAATCACTCCGTTCAGCCGTCTCTAATCGGTGGAATTTCTCTTGTCGAGGAGCCACGAAAGTTTTTCTAAAATCTACCGGCACCCCTGTTACCCTTTGACCCTCGCGCACTTCAACCCTGTCCAATTATTATTTTAACCTCTCGGGGACTCGCCAACTCTGAAGAAGGTCCAATGCAGATGCTGTCTGGCGCAATTCCGCAGCGTTTTTATCCCAGCAAATCCGTATGACTTTTTAATTGCTTTCACGGTCGAACGAATTATTCGTTTTTCCACCAGTTGGCGCCCGCGTCGCGCATTTCCCGTACGAGTAACGCGAGGTGGATGAAGAGAAAAAAAAAGGTTGAACTTGTCTAAAGAGACAAAAGATCGTGAATGGTAGGATAACCTAGCAATTTTTTTCTTTTGACCATCGATAACGCTTGGCTGGACCACGTGCAATTCCCACCACCCAATCGCCATACTGCTCTCTGACCCTATCTGTATATTTTCATTCTCCTTCTTCCTCCCTATTGAACTTTCACTCCTTCCTTCTCTCGCGCTTGCCTTCCCCTCTTCTTTCTCTCCCTTCAACTGCCCGCCCTACTCGCTACGGTAGACTCGATGGATGCTCCTTTGTCGCTCTGCTAATCACTTCCGCACCCACGACCGTGTACTTGTAGCCAACAGCGGTATCGCCGTCGGGCTTCACTTCCTTGCTGGGGAACTAAACTATTCGCAATTAAGCGAATTCAAAGGGGACTCGCCTCTCTTGCCAGTAGCCAGCTCGGGGTGGTTAGGATCGCTTAACAGCTTGTACCTTCTTACTTACGTCGATGCCCCCAAACAGCGGAAACAATGGGGACGCTTTGTAATATTTCTTCCTCGAGCTGCAAGTACTACGGAGTTAAGGTGTAATCTCTCGGCGAGAGGAATTTCGTGTTCGCCAATCTCCCAGGACAGTCGGAAGGATTGGGCGAACAGCCCGATAGGAGCTGAGTAGGATTTAACGTTCAGGAACTCATGGAAATCTCGTGGTCTAGGCTGTCGTCGCGTCGGACGTTGGGATATGAGAAATGGCCAGGTCGAGTGCTCGAGCCGCAGATTTCCATGGCTCTCCTACGTTCCCTTATCCATTGCTAAGTATGCGCTGCCGGTGAGAGCTCTGGGGATGCAAATGGCGTTGAATCACGATAGAAATCGAATGTCCTGTCGGCTGCTTGGATAAAGGGAATAAATATCATAGGAATGTCTCGATCGAGGAACTCACGAGAGTCCAGGAGAATTTATTTACTTCTGCTCTAGCGTATAGCTCGCGCACTTACACGGTAGTCGCTGCTCGCGGGACCGATGCGGGGCTGTGGATAGGGGTTGATCCGGAAGAAAGCCAGAGTATTCTGATCAGGAGCCGACTGTAAAGTAACCGCTTAGCGGGCTAGCGGCGAACCCATAAACAAGGGGTTTACAAAGGAGCTTCGGATGGGTAGAAACGAGATTTGCGGGTATCTCATTTTATGAATTTTAAATGTCCTCGAGGGGGGGTCAGCCGTGGTCGCAGGATCGATTTCCTACTCAGGATCGACTGGACGTGTGCAGTCGACGCCCGAGTACCAAGGGACGCCGTGGGAATGCTCAAGGAACGGGAGTGGTACGCTATACGGCAGGGAAGAGGGCTGGAGGAGCCTCGCCTGCGGGAAAGAAGCAAATTAAGGAAAAGCCAAGGCACGTGCAAGAGGCAATGGTTCCCGCGGCACGCCTGCTCTGGGGGAGCAGGTGCACGATTGATAGCCAAGGGAATTGGAAGCTAATTAATGCCTCTAAGAGGGATTACCTCACCGTGGCGTCTACAGCCACGGAGAGCCACGGAGAGGCAGAGCCAGGGAAGCGGCGAGAATCGTGGAGGAATCGGGAAAAAGGGAATCGCTTGGTAATTGGGAATTGTGTGATTAAAACTAACCCATCTTTATTTTATTTCTTCCGACCTCCCCCCCTCCCCTTTCTTTAACGTATTCCCTATCGAGATCCCTGCTCGTCCTATGCCGTCACTAATGTCGCGGTTGTCCCTTTTCTTGGCATCGGGATACGATCGATCTGTCATTATTATTACGTGAGATCAAAGTTCGCCGTCTTTAACGTTCCCACGGATCACGTTTGTTGGTTAAGACTTTGACGTGTCTGTTTTCATCTTTAGGCGTTGCTCGAGGTTAAGAAGCAATTCCCGTGGGATGAATTTATGGCTGGCTGGGATTAACACGGGTGCGCGCAATAAAAGTCTTCCGGACGCCTTTAACCCTCTCCCGTGTCTGTTCTATCTCTCTCTCTCTCTCTCTCTCTCTCTATTGCCGTAAAGACACGTGCTCGTTCTCCCTTTCTCCCTTACTCCCTTACCTTCTTACGTTTCTCTTGCTCGATCCTCGTGTCTGGAAGGTTCGCGGCAGCACGCGTACTTCCCGCAGGATACTGGAACCGACTCAGCAAGGCTGCACATTCTATCAGAATGGACGACCGTTGGTATTAAGCCCACCGAATGGCCCTGTTTTTCAAACCATTTCGTGCGCCTCTCTTCATTCTTCTTTAGTCTCTTTACGCCTTTCTTCGGGCTTCACGGACTCTCTCCTACGTGTTTCCGTTTACATTCGGTCCTGCCCATTATGTACCGTTTC